CAACCTCACTAGCCGACTGCGTCCTCAGCACCCCCATTTCCTCCAATCGTCTCCGCCTCACCTGGTCCGAGAAGGTAGCCATCCTCGAGAAGGCTGCTCGCTCACCTAATCTGTCGTATAATGAGCTAGCTGAGTGGATCGCCTAGGCGAAGGCCCTCGGCAACCCGTACAGCGTCGACCAGCTAGCTGTACTGCTCTGGTGCGATGCTGCATTGTCTAAAGCTAGCTCTTCCACGATTCAGCACTGTTGGAATCACTCTGGTCTCATTCAAAAGTCGAATCTTCAATTTATCCTAACTTAATTCAATATATGCACATGATCCGATATCATAGTCTGTTTTTAGCAAGGCATTGTCAGCTTATGCAATCTCTTTCTCAATTTATATCAGGCGCACCTTATTCAGGCAGATTTCTGTATCAACTTAATCCTTCTAGCCCGAGCTTTTATTCTGTATCCTACAGAATAAGGAATTATACTTGATAAAAGTGTACTTCAGAGACCTCCCATAATTATCCTGCTGCAACCCCCTTCGCTCTCCATGGCCAAGAACTAGGCGAATTTATCACAGAAACATTACGACAGTGGACATAGCGTCCACAATGTACCCAACAGCTGCGCAAATTGCGATTTTCGATTGGTTCATTTTCGGTTAGAGCACAATCAATACCTGCATTCTACCAATACCCGAGATTTTCGTTTAGGCTCATGAAGCCGATCAAGCAGCCCAACTCCTTGACGACAGCCATCCGTTCGTGGCGCCAAACTGCGCGACGCGCGCGCAGAGAAGAGTTTGCCCTGTTCCTCGTCGCTAAACCGTTAGTTAGGAACTGGGCAAATTCTTTCTCTGCGCGCGCGCCGCGCATTACCAGGTATTTGGACTTACCCTTCCTACTATCTTTCCTACGCTTCCTCATCACTCTCTCTCTTACGCTTACGGAATCTAATCTTCTTCTTTAGGCTAGGCAGAACGCTCTTGCCGTCACCCCACGTCTCGTGCCAAATCTGCGAGCAAGTCAGCGTATTCCCGCTCTCCACGCGCCGCACGTGACGGCAGAGAGGTACGCGCCCTCCAAAGGCATCGCTGCATCGCGGGCAGAAGAAACTGGTTTCAAATGACTTGGTTTTGGAGTCAGCTAAAGCGGAGCACACTTTGCACAGGTACTGCCTGCGTTTGTGCTGCTTGCCGGACGAAAAGAAGTTATCGGTGCTCACTAACGCGTGCTGCTGACGTGGAATTCGTACAGCCACCAGGTCCTCTGCGTTGGGGTGGGTCTCGAAGTTGATTGTCTGCAGGGCGAGCAGCTGAATGTGCAATCGACGCAGGTATTTAGCATGGGTAGGTCGTTTTTCTTCTTTCCTCTTGAGCGTCACACAGTGAACGATGTATCCATTCACGACAGCCATGTCTACGATACACAGGAATGACTGCTTGTAGTACTTGCGAAGCGATATACACTTTTGGATGTTGTAGCGCTGGAGTTTCAGCTGGTCGTGGACGTCCACGCCGCCCATGCCACGATTGTAGTCCACAACCAGCTGCGGACACGGCACCGTGCTTCGCGTGCCATCTTTCTCCAAGCGCATAACGCTGGCGGGGTGAGTGCTGCAACCAGCAGCGAGCATGTTCACGGGCTTTGAATCCATCCAACTCAATGCAGCTAACGGATGGTGATCACGTGCTTGTGCGATACGATAAATTTATCTTGGCATTCGCTTCGGTCGTTTCGCCTGCGTGAACTGGATCGGACACCAGCCAAGTCGATCAGTTCTCGTGGTGCCAACATGATAGAGACCCATATCCAGCAGCTTCAGACTCAGTGAGACCGTTGAGTAGAAGCTATCCGTTACGATCAGGCGCTTCCTCGGCTGACCCACCAAGGCTTTCGTTATGTTTCTAACGACAGCTTTTGGACCATGCACTTGGCGTCTTCTTCTTTTTGCCGTCTGCCCCACAATAGATTTCCACTCTAAGTCGGATAGATACAGCATATCATGAGAGAGTGTCAGTGTATTCTGTAGCCTCCGGAATTGCGTATTCAAGGATGTACAGAATAATATGCAGTACCTTGAACAATATGCTGTATCTGCGCAGCATGTCATGTAGAACTTGGTACCGTACTTGCTGGGCTTGTCGGGCATGAAGATTCGCATCGGATTGAACTTGCTGCGGTTCGACATCATGCCTTCGTCGAACGAGATGACCTTACCCAAGCGATAGCCACGGCGGAATGTTTTCTCAACAGCTTGCAACACAGGACGGATTTTCCAAGCTCTGTCAGCATGCGCTCCACCGTCATCATTGTTGTTGAAGTGCAGAAATTTCATGATCGCCTCGAAGCGATCGCGCTTCATGAAGCGAGAGAACATCCCGCGTGGAATGGCTCCATCTTCTTCTGTACTCCAGTGATTAGAAAGCCCTTCTCGAATCGGAGCGACAGCTCGTGCAAAGAGCAATCCCACGACGTGCAAAATCTCATGAGCTTTGAATACGCCTGAATTTCCTCAACTTGACTTCGATATCTTCTAAGTTGGGCACACTCACGCGAGGATCCTCAGCTTGGCGAGCAAGCATCTTTGGTCGACGAGATAATGCCACAGCACCAATATTCTGCTCTCGGTAGCGATTCGTCTCATCATCAATTCGAATCCATAGCTCCTTCGGTAAAAAGTAGAAGAACATGGCCAATGGAGAGTCTGCGTATGCGACCGCAGACCGTGTGGGTCCGCACGGTCCGTCGTAATAGTCCGTTGCAGCGTCCATCTGGAGATTCCCCGTAGTAAACACACAATCCGGAATAAGTACAATTGCACCACACACTAATCTGTATCATACGCCTCCCACTTTCCGCTTCGGCATAAGTAATCCATCCATTCTCCGCGATGTCTCGCAAATCACCACTAGTCAGGTCAAAGAGTCCCTCCTCGGGGATGTCATCATTCAAAGACACGTCTTCTAGATCTTCTACACCTTCTACTTCAAGGACCACTTCGTTGTCGTTCATCACGTCTTCGTTATCCGCGTCTGAACCGGAGTCGCTGGCATCTTGACCAGCCACCACGTTCACATCATCACCATCTGTCGGGCCGAACAATCGCTCTTTTCAGAGACCCTCCATGAAGTTGTGGCTATCAAAGACATCTAAATCTACATGATAATCCGCAGGGTCGTCACTCTCGCTCTTTGCTTCATCAGCTTCCGTCGATGTCTCTCGCGGGTTCCATTCTGTATCAGAGCCTTCATTTCTCCTTTCTTGTTATGTATCCCCCGGGACTGTAAACTGTGTATTCCCATGTTCTGTATTATCCAGATCGTGGCCTTGCAAGGCTTCATCTTGTTATGTACCATCCGTTATAGCCAGTTGAGCTTGAGCTTCAGTCGATGGCTGTAGTCCTGCCGGATTCACCTCCGGCGTCAACGGAGCGGTCGCTGGAGGTTGAACACGTGCACTGACTTGAGGAGCGTTAACGTTTGGAGTTTGGGCGGATTCAGTCGCCGTAACGGAAGGTGGTGGCGCGGAAGTGGTGAGCGGTGGATGGCCATGGGTAGGTCCCTCCCCAACAGCTTCGTACGATGCTTGCTTGCCAATCGGACGATGTGCAGGGCCAACACGCACGCTTGGGAGTGGAAGCTGGAGACGACCGGATGCACGTCCAAACGCCATGAGTTCAGCTTCGCCTGATAAACACACCATTGTAAGTATTGAGCATTATTAGGTCAGTTAGCACTGCAACGTACCCTAAAAAAAGTCAATGCCGCGTCTCGATTCATCAAGACGTCCCTTGATTCCTGGCTTCACGTAGCGGTGATGCTTGGCCATGCGCGTGGGTTTGCGGGGCTTCCATCCGTCCTTGCATAACTCCCGCCACAGCTGCTTGAATGTCTTCTCTCCGGGGCCGTTCATTGTTCAGAGATGATTTTCGAATGGGAGGGACTGATTGCCACGCGGCAGTTTTGGGCTTTCACTCTAATTTTCAAACCTGTTCTGATTTTATATTGGTCTTTCTACTCACACAGAAGAATCCCCGTCTATCTACCCTTCACCGATCCAACGGGAAGGATCTGCTGATTATCACGTATACAAATTCTCATATGCGGACTTGGGGGCAGCAGCCAACTTTGCTGGGTACTAAATCCTGTTAAACATCTTATTCTGTAGGATACAGAATACCGGGCTAGAAGGGTTAATATTAGCTAATACCATACAGTATTATATTATCTAAGATTGCGTAATCGGGCTAAAATTCACCAATCAGATGTCGTTAGCGCTCGACTAGCTGAGGTATTACTAATCAACCGTGAGGGAGGGACAATTTTGTGAGAGTGACGGCAAAGTTGGCGTCGTGTATTGGCACTGCTCAGCGCATTAATCTAGCGCCACAGGCAGCAGGTTTATAAGACGCACGATGTGGACGAGGAAATCGACATAGAACAAGAACAAATGCCTGATCTCGCTCTATCGACGTTAAACAACCGCAAGCGTTTGCAGTTTTCCATCTCGATCGCCTTTGTCTGTGTCACAGTGAAATACTAGAGCAAATACTCGTCAGTCTTAAAGCATACTTCTTTTTATAGAACCTGATCGAAAAAGGTTTTGGCTCCGCTAGGTTCACAGAGGGTAAGGTGGCAAGATACGTACCTAAGTGGGGAAAATATCTTAAAAATATCATCTATTATCTAAGAGCCTGTTCACTACGTAGATGGAGATGGAGATGGATTTACGATCAGTTTTTTTTTTATACTTGATTGGCCGAAATTTTGAACTTACAACCACACAACTGGAGAGTTTCACCCTGCGTCCTTCTCCACCTCTGTGAGGTCGAGACGGCTGGAGACGACTAAATACCGTTTTCAAACTGTTTCTGTGCAATGGATGATGAAGAAACTATTATAGTTGCTACGTGTGCTGCTGTCGCGCAGACGCTCGCCTCCACTTGTGAGCGTGCGCCACCAGGACCCAAGAAACAAATTCTCACTGTGACCGTTTTGGACTTCGAGCCTATGCTTTTGTCATGGAGCTACGACAGTTGGTTTGAAACAAATCTTCGATGTTCCAAGAAAACCTTTTTACGCGTCGCCAACTTCCTACAATGTCAGGGGGTTCGATTCGCTGCGGCGAAATCGAAGCAGCACTGCTATAACAAAAAGGTCGCTGCTGCGCTTTACTTCATGGGTTCGACCGGAGGATACAGGGAGGTTGGAGGTGCAATGGGTATGTGTAGGAGCTACGTTTCAGAAATTACTGCAGAAGTTGTTCGAGTTCTAAGGGCTGCAGCTCCCCAAATTGTGGCATTTCCACGGGACCAAGGCGGTTGGGATGCAATCGAGTCAGAATTTGCGGCGCGACATGGGTATCCTGGTGTCGTAGGTGCAATTGATGGATCTCTAATTGAAGTCGAGCGTCCCTACGAGTTTGATGGTTTTTATTGCCGCAAGTGCTACCCGGCGTTGAATGTGCAAGCGATCGTCACCAGTGATAATGTTTTCTTGAGTGCTGAAGTTCGTCCTGGCTCCTGGTCGGATCGAAAGTGCTGGCAGTATAGCAAAATTGGTCGAACGGTATACAGTACGATACCACCAGGAGCTCATTTTATTGGTGACGCTGGATACGCATTACTGCCTGGACTTATAGTACCGTACAGTGATCGGGAAGAGGGTGGAGAGCTGTCACCCAGACAGAGACAATTTAACTTTTTGCACTCAAGTACTCGCATGGCTGTAGAGAGCACCTTTGGAATTTGGAAAGGTCGTTTCAGAATGTTGCAAGGCCCAATGAGTCAGGAAACACCTCATCGAGCAGCAGAATTTGTCGTTGCAACCATGACTCTGCATAATTTGATGATCCACTTCCGAGACACCACTGAGATTCCTTTGTTTGTCGAAGACAATAACAATAGTGCTGAGGCCGACATTTATGATGGAGAACAAAGTAGAAATCAACGCCATATAGGAATTTCTAAACGTAATGCAATTGCCAGTCAAATTTGCCGTTAACAATGAAAGTGGTAGCGATTTAGTCCGCGCAAGTCTAACTGTTGTTGCTGGCCGCGTTGTTGGCGACGCTGGCCCCAATGAGGTCCATGAGGCTTTTAAGTGCTTGGGTCTGTGCCTGCACAGTCTCACTTAATTCTCGAATAGAGCTTAGAAGCTCACGGCTATGATTGTCACCTACCTGCGTCCTTGACACCTTGAACGCCTCGGCAATGCTGTGGAGACCCTCGCCAATAGCTTTCATTCCTTCAGCAGTTTCGGTTTTGTCTCGCGTGCGTTTACCAGCATGCTGTCTCCACCCACCGCTACTCGGGCTTTCATCAATCACCGCGTCATCGGTTTCGGTTAAATACCGACCTACAGAGATTTCTGGGGCGTCACTTGAAAAGAACGGGTCTGCGTCCATGCCGTAGTGGTCGCTCCACACGTCGCACATCGTCTCATAGCACATTGGTTCCTTTAACTGCTTCTCCGTAGCATTTCCAGTATCCAGCAATGCTACTCGATACGCTGTATACTGTTTGTGCATGTGCTTTAACTACGTATCATGCATTCAAAGCTCAGTTAATAAAACGACTTTAACCTAATATTAAAGAATAGCCGTACCTTTGACTTACACTGCCCTGTGTTCACCTGAAGACCTCCCAGGCGGAACGTCTCCGCAGCAACCAAACTCCAGGCAGCCGCAAGCTGTTTCGAGCTTCTGGTGCCCTGAAAACGATGCTTCATCGCAACAAAGCGTACACGCAAAAGCGTTTCAGACGCCTTTAATGTCCATGCAAATGCCAACGGCGTGTTCGAGTCAGGTTTCTTTCCATGCCGGCCACGGGGTGCTGGAGGTGGAGCTGCTGTCACAAGCCCCAAGGTGGTAGGTGGTGAAGAAGGCGTTGGCATCGTCGGTGAAGATGTAGAATCACGAAAGATAGGAACAAAGCTAGACGCTCCGTCATTGCCATCGCCGACAAGCTCCTGGCTATCACCTGATATCATAGAGGGGAAAACTACTTTGTCCGCAGCTGGTCCGAATGTAGACGCCAGAGGGGATAGCTCGTCGGTGCTACTGTTGTCAACTGGAGGATGTAGTCCTCCATCTTCACGAGCGGCAGCGCATGTGAGGCGAGCTGGCATGATGGCAATTGTCTGACTGACGACTCCGAACAACATAGGGTTTGATTGGTTGAAATTTAGGTGGACATTGTAATGGGCCCAACTCCAATTACATAAGTAGGTAGATATTTCTTTAGTTATTACATAAGTAGGTAAAGTGGCACACGGGTAGCGTGTGCCAAGGTGTCATCATCTGATTGGTTGATAGTGAGGAGCCAGACTCACTTATTGACCAATCAGATATAGACATGTGTTTGAGTGGTTCACACGAGGCCAGGGGTAGCCGCCCTGGTCCTAAATAAATCAGAGTTGAATTTGACACAAACCTAAGACTTGGTTTTATTATTGCGAGCTTCCTCCGCATTACAGTGTAAGCTAGTAACGGTATCTCTTACCCCGTTACAGACATGATTTCTCTGGCGACCAAACTGGAGATGGAGACGCAAGATTTGTTGCCTTCATCTCCATCTCCAGCTACGTAGTGAACAGGCTCTAATCTATTTCGTATCTCTGACTTGTAATATTAAAATATTCTGCTAGCATCTGGAAAATTGAGCTACTATTAATATTTAAAAAGTAGCGAAGTACTATTACTATCAAAAAAATGTCATTCGATATTTGACTACCGTTTACGATACGATTTGATGATGGTCGCATCTTGTGACCATTATCAAATCGTATCGTAAACTCACACTAATATTAATACTGCAACAGGGCCACTAACATGTAAAAAAATCTTCTCTAGTTTGAAAAGGAGATTTGGTTTTAGTTATCATGGGCCCCTGCCATTCGAAGCTGTTCGGGAGCTTAAATAAGTTTCATGAAACATGGGGGTGGACCCCTTCTACTGGTACATGTAGTGTAGAATCATTTGCCACTCGTATGATTTGAGCTTCAGACCCAGATGGACAAATAAATGAAGCCGCATCATCAATATTACCGCAAACGCTGAGTCCTTCCACCATAAGAGTGACTACAGTAAACCTGTCCTACCTGATATGACCCGTGGACAACACTTTTATCTGGTATAGCAGCATATCATGTTATTCAGGTCGTCTTCAGTGAACAGGTCGTTGCTAGAGTTAGAAGGTCTGAATAAGGCGCCAATATCACGCATATGAACGAAGTGAGAGAGCATGCCGGCTTAAAGAAGCAAAACATGCAAATGTATTTTTGCAGCGAATATCGACTGTACTCCCAAATGAGAGAAAACGTATGAATAATGGGTAGTGCCACCAAAATAATGACGAGCCATCCCCAGACCCGGTTTGTACAGCTGCAGAGCTCGTTGCTGGAGTGTCCATGGGCATGTGTCCCATGACTCTATTTTAATAATTCTGACTTCTCTGCGTCGCGTTCCATATGCCGTATAGTAACATTCACGGACGATCAGATTAGACTCGTGAAAACAGTACGAAAAAGCATCCGCTCGTAGCTACAAGCACTAACTGTGTTTGCTGACTGTTTGACAAACAAGCAGTGTTTGTAAGTGTGTTGCTGAGGCCTTAGTGGCTATTAGTAGCATGTTGGTATCGATCATCATTACATGAAACGCCGAGGCTCAGCTGACTTCTCAAAAGCCACACAGTACACACAATAGCTGGTTGACGGGTGTAAATAGTTTAATTTAAGTGTTTCCTAACTCCGTACTGCCTGCTGGGTTGTCCCGGTACAGTAAAAAACTTTGTGTTGCGCCACACCTTCGGCACTGACTTCGTCCATTGTGAAAAGACTTGGGCGTTTCAATCGTAACGTAGTGGTTCTAGCGAAGTCGAAGTGACGAGGACGGGCTATTAATAGTTGATATAACAATGACTGCGGAGAACATGTGCTCAACTCGTGAAGTTTTATGCTCGGATTAATTTTTACGACCAAAAACACGATTTAGAGATTTACAGCGCAGCACCATTTCCTACGGTAGGTAGCCTACCTATGTGTGTAGGTAAGAACTGGATCATTAGGTTCAGTTAGTGAATCCTTCGTCGGCTGGAGTACATGTAGCAGGCATGGTTGATGGACCAATGGATGCCATTATCATGTACCACACGTTGTAGCTATCGCTGTCGTAATCAGTGACGTAGCCACCAATTGACAAGGGACATTTCCCATGGTAGAAGTCGTCCTATCCTAAGCCGACGTGGCCCGAAGCTGTCATAATTGTATTCATCGTCTGCTCTGAAGCTTGACAATTACTTTGAAACTTTTACGACCGGAATTCCTCTCAAGTCAGTCGCAACGATGCGTTTCTACTTCATCCTCCTTCTGGTAGGTAGTGTTCTTTGTGCTTTGTTGGCACATGGCGCTGCTCTTGTGGAGATTGGAGAGGTAAAAACATCCTCTGGCTTCGAGTCGCTGGGTCGTTCATCACCTTTGGCAAAACGCGAAAGCCCATCGACTCAGGTGGTGACAGATCAGGATGCTGAAGAGAGGTCGTCTGTGGTCGCCGATCTGGTCAGGTTGGTGGGGGTAAAGCTCTCAGACAAAGTTCGAGCTCGCTATTGGCTCTGGAGGGGGAAATCCTCAGAGGACGTTTTTAAGCGACTGAAGCTCGATGGCGGGTTGGAAAAACTTATGGAGAACCCGAAGTTTTTCTCTTGGATGACCTACATTAATATGTACAACAAGAAGAACCCTGACAAGAAGATGGCAATGACAGACGTTCTTACGAAAACTTATGGAGACTTAGCACTGTCAAGAATGCTGGATTCGGTGTTGAATGCTCGAAGGTCCAGCCAAAAAAGTAGAAAATTAATGAAAGTGGCAGCTACGCTGGCTCTACAGCAGAGACAAGGTTGGGAGAGAACAGGTAAAAGTACGGATGAAATATTTGCCTTCTTAAGCTGAATACGGCCGGGAATGATCTCTTTCATGCCCCTGAGCTGAGCTCGTGGTACAAATATGTGGTTAGGCTCGAGAAGGACAATGCCAAGACCGTGATGGCAGCAGTATTGACATCTCACTACGATGATGCCGCGCTGTCCAAGCTTTTTCGCGAGGCAAACCCGCCTGTCAGACGTATGAGGTTTGTTAGGCTGTGGCTGGAAACGGCAGTGGCAAAGAGCCGACCGAGAAAGACTCTCTCCCAAGAAGAGTACTTCAAGGCTCTAAAGCTTGACGCTGGAGTGGACACGCTTCTCACCTCCCCGAACCTGGCGAAATGGGTTGCCTATATGCGTAAGTTGAGCGCGGAAACTCCTGGAAAGAGCACACCAATGATTAAAACATTCACGAATTTTTATGGTGATGAAGCTCTGGCAAAGATGCTCGAGGCTGCGAGACAAGTGCCGAAAACTGCAAAAGTAGCGACACTGTTCCAAACTGCGCAGTTTAGTCAGTGGCTACGGGAGGGTAAAGAACCAACTGTGATCTGGAAAATGCTTAAAATGGATAAGGCGACATGGACAACAAACCCAGACGCACAGGTTTGGTACAGGTACAACGACTTCTATAAGGCCCGCAAACTCTGATTTAGTTTCTAGTGTACAGCAACCCAACACAGGTGAACCTTGACAAGACCTTTTTAGTTTCCTTTTTTAAACCGAGGCCTGAGCTCCCAAGCGCATCCTTAATGTGAATGTTGCTACAAGTTTCTTTTTGGGCATGGAAATTTTGAATATGACGCAGAATACCAGTGTCCTTGTATTAGAGCATTGTTGCAACAGCTATTCAAATTCGAGGACCACCTTCGGCAATAAGCGCAATGTTATTTAGTTACACAAGGCTTGACAGGGAGGGAGTACATTCCGCCGATCGATTTAGTATCCGAATGTGTACTCGCTATGATTATCTGATTACTATCCTTAATACTGGAAGTGCTTCAATACAAAACAAACGCACAGACCCGCACCAAGAGTAGCGCTCAATTTAAGTAGAAGCTGTTAATTTGTTAATAGTTACCTCGAAGTACTTCGTTACTGTATCGGAAGCCTCCATACAGTAATCAGATCGGTAAATAACTTTAAATTTTATGCGTTGTAAAAAAAAATGAACCCAGCAAGCCGGTCCAAAAAAACTTTGTTTTAGCCTATTACAAAGGCGACAGATCAAATTGAAAAGTACCTTTTTCTGGCTCTTGGAGAATGTTAACCCTGCCTCCTATAACTGACGCACATTATAATACTGTAAAACCAATAGTAACTCGTAGGGAGAAAGAAAACAAAAATAAAAAACGGATGTTAATAACATTAAAAGTTGGAGGCTGGCGGTCTGGCAATGAGCTTTTTGTCACGGTGTACATTTAGATGGTGGATTAACGATGCTGGCTGACTGCCTGCAGAAGGTCTACTGTAACGGGGTACGTAGCCCTAAGTGTACCCTGGTTACATGAAGTCTGACACGTCACACTTCAGAAGTATGACACGTCATACTTCGAAATATTTGGTACAAAGTACCAAATTCGTCCAAAGCCAACCATTGGTTGATGATATTGCATTTCTATAGGTGACTTATAGTTTGTATTAACCCAAGCTTTATCTACCTAGAAATATACTCAGTTTACATTCTACCTTAAATAGGTCACTTCGCTCTCTTTTGATAAAGATGGGACCAGTGAACTGCCGTTCACTGAGAGTTTGTGTACTCTCGGAAGATAACTTCCTCTAGCGCAAGGTGCTGTGTGACCCCGTCACACTTGGTAGCACTACTAGTCAATCCACGCCACCGCGGGTAGACTAAGTGAACCTCTCCGAAGTTCGTTGCCATGGATAGGAACGACTTCTCCCATATGAACGACTCTCAGTTCGAGTCGGTTCGGAAGATGGCAGGCATCTTCGGGATGGAGGCCCTGCAGAGCCTGGTGGTGTAAACACCGGCTGAGCAGCTCGAACGCGTCAGTGCATTCGACGCGTACGAGCAGGGCCTCATCGCGCATGTGCGGAAGAACCTGCAGGCTCCGGCGGTGGAAGCAAGCCCATCTCACCCGAAGCCAATACGGCTAAAGGTTAAGTTGTATGAAGGGAAGGAGACGAGAACCTTCACTTCTGAGTTCGAGAAGTGGAGCTCGCGATGGACGCGGCTCTGATCTCGACCGAGCAACTGCGTGTTGCCTTTGCACTCTCCAACCTTAGCGGCCGTGCTAAGAGTTGGGTGTACACACGGGAAGCAACATCCCCTGGATGTTTCACATCCTGGGGCTCAGCTGTGCGAACAGCTCCGAGCCGCGTTCCTCCCGGCGAACTACGAGTACCGCCAGCGTTCGCGCTTCCTCTCGTGTAAACAAGGGAGGCGCGAACTGCACGAGTATGTGCAAGAGATACGGGAGCTCACGGCGTCCCTAGTGGGAAACCCACTCAACGAACACATCAAGATGACTGTGTTCATGGACGGCCTTCGAGTGGGCCCCGCACGCACTCAGCTGTTCCGGGTGCAGTCAAGCACCCTTGAAGAGGCGATTCAAGTGGCTCTTCAAGAAGAGTACAGCCATCGCCAGGCGCGTACGCCGGCCTCAGCATGGCCTGGGAGTTCCTTGTCGGCTCCCGGCCGAACAAGCCCCAACGGACCAGTTCCCATGGAACTCGGGTCCGCCGAGTGACCTCCGCTGCTTCGACTGCGGGAGGATGGGCCACTTTAAGCGCGACTGTCCTGCGGAAAGACTCCGCAGACGGTCCTTCCCCAAGTCCGTCCTCAAGGGTCGCTGGCAGAAGCCTGGATCCCGGGGACAGGGGAACGCTGGGAACCAGTAGGGGTGGGGCGCCCTACTGGGGAAGAACTAAGTATTCGTGATGGGTGCGCGGGTGGCGCGTACCACTTAGCCCCTGAGAGTCTTCGCACTCTCGAATCGGCGATGAGCAGCGGCGGGTTGCTCGTAGTACACGGATATGTACGGGGATACGATCATCCCTTTAGAACCTTGATCGATTCTGGGGCGTCGAAGAATTTCGCACGCCGCCAGACGTCTGCTCGCAACAGCAACAAGTTGTCCGATGCTTTGAGGGAAAGCAAGGGCAACGGGACGGTGTCAGTGCGACTAACCGACGGGAAGGTCGTCACTGTCCCCAACGTCCAAGTGGATCTGGCCGTCAAGTTTGAAGACTTTGACAGCCTCGAACAGTTCACTGTTCTCGATATGGATCCATATGATATGATCCTGGGCATGCCCTGGCTTGAGAAGCACGAGCCCTGGATCGACTGGCGAGGCAAGGACATGGGTATCAGCCGCCCTGCGCAGTCCGACAGAGCATTGGTGAGTCATGTTCCCACCTCTGTCAGGACCCGGGGCGCCCGCAAGGGCTGCCGGGGTACCAAAGCATCCGGCAGGTGCTTGGGAGTCGTCGACGTATATGACGACTCCGAGGATGTTTTGATGGTGGCAGCGCCCAGAAGAGGTGCTGGTCAAGTGGGTAACTTAGGTCCACAGGCGGGTAACTTAGTTCCGCAGACAGCTACAGCTGTCACGAACACTGAGAACAGCGTGTTCAGAGTGGGTAACAGAGTTCCACCCACGGTCGCCCAGACCTTAACTGAAGAGGAAGACGTCGGATACGCTTCCTGTGTGGGTAACACAGTGCCACACGCGGTCGCCCAGACCTTAACTGAAGAGGAAGGCGTTGAACACGCTTCCGGTGTGGGTAACACAGTGCCACACGCGGTCGCCCGGACCTTAACTGAAGAGGAAGGCGTCGAACACGCTTCCTCTGGGGGTACCATAATACCACACGAGGTCACGAGTGCCTCGGATGTCGTGGCGACGACATCCCTAGACGAGGGCAGCAAAGCTCCCCGTCACAGTCGCCGTCGTCGACGACGCCGCCGCCGCCTCAAGTCGGATCCGAACTTCGTTCCGATCGACGTCGCTTCAAGCGACTCGGAGTCCAGGACCCGGGCTCCTCCGACAAGGCCGGTGGAAGAGTGTTATCACATCTTCGATGGCGAGACCGGTTTACCCGTCAAGGCATCTGGTGTCCACTTACAACCGTTGCCAGAGGTTGCAGAGATACTGCACCTCGAGGAAATGACGGCTGAGTCTTTCCTGACCAACCTCAAGGCTGGAGCGATTGCTGAGATGGTACTCATGAGACCTGAGACCACTCGGGAGGAGCTGAACTCCTCCTCTGTCTTGGACGAGAACGTCCTGGAAGACCTGAACAAGCAGCGTCAGACGCGCTTGGGTTCTGAGATTCTTAAGAACCCAAAGGATGCGGAGTATTCTTTGGTGAAGGAGTATGCGGACGTGGTGAACAAACACTCACCGACCCAACTCCCACCGGATCGAGGCGTACGGCACGAGATTGATCTCGTGTCCGGCACAAAGTATTGTGTCACGAGGCAATGGCCTCTCCCGCGCGAACAGTGCGAGGTCATTGATGCCTTCTTCGCCGCGAAAGCGAAGGCAGGCATGGTGCGGGAGTCGAAATCCCCGCACTCGACGCCGACTTTCTGCGCTCGTAAGCTGAACGGAAAATGGCGTCTGGTTCATGCTTATAACAAGCTGAGCAACGCAACGGTGCCGGTCAAAACACCAATCCCACGAAAGGTTGTGTTTTTGAGCAACATGGCCGGGAGCGTACTGTACAGTGCGCTGGATTTGGTAGACGGATACTACCAAATCCTGATGCGAGAGAGCGACATCCCGCTCACCGCGGTAAGCACTCCAAGCGGCATGCTTTAAGAGTGGCACGTCATGCCGCAGGGCTTGTCTAACGCCCCGGCGACGTTCAATCGCCTGGTGACGCAATTGTTCCGCCCTTTGCGTACCTTCGTACAGACGTCCTTCGACGACATATTCGTCCATAGCCGTGCCGAAGGAGGCAAGACGGCCATGGAGGTGCACCTAGGACACCTCCGTCGAGTGTTGGACGTAATGCGAGCGAACAAGCTCTACGCCAACATCGACAAGTGCGTTTTCG